CTACCAAGTTCTTAATTTTTTTGCCATTGCATGGTAATGAACACCATGGCCTCATCCAGTAACTTCTGCTCTGGGCACAAGGCCAGAGCTCCTGGGATATGGCATCCAGTAAACCTTTCCCCAGTATTACAATCCCTGAAAAATTAGAAGACAGGTACTACTTTAAAATCATAGCCATTTGACCTAATTGACCTAATTAATTGTACATTAACTAAAGACAATATAGAACATTTACAGAAAAATATTTGCACTTAACTGACTCAATATATGGCATAATGATGGCCATATAAGACAGTTTTTGCTGTAAGAAATTGATCTTTGCATCTGTGCACAGCCTGTGGTGGAAACTTCTTCCGTTTTTTAAATACTCACATTCAAGTCTCTAACTTGAAGGAAAAAAGCAAAATACCTTCTTGTGATTCTGCATTGATTCCACCACAAAATTGCTTTTGATTGTTAGGCCACAGCAAGGCATGAATGAGAACTAATAAAATAGAATTTATTCCTTAAAAAAAAAAAAAAAAAAAGTACAAGACTGGCAACAACCAGGCCTGAATTCCAGTCACACAAAGCATCTGCACTTCTCACTAATTTATCCAGGCTGCATCTCTTGAAAACCAAGCAGTTCTTGCACTGAGTAAAGGAATTCTGAAGCCATTGTCCCTAAGCCAGAGAGCTGAACACTGCTGTCAGGGAGGCCCTTTTACAATTTGTTTTATTCCATAACTGTTCACATGAATACAAAATCTGCAAATTTCAGTAAGGACTTAGGTGATTTTGTAGAACCAACAACTTACACAAAATCCCTTCTATCAAGATGAGGCTGTAGCTTTAAATCTAAACACACTCCTATGAGAAAGCCTTAAGATTTAGAAAAGTCCAGAGTAAAGACCAACTTCTGAATGCACACACAAGAAACTCCACTGGAATCTTCAGCACTGTGGTAGAACACCGAAAGCAAAATCTGGTTCTTAATGTGCCTCTGAAGACTGTAATTATATTTCCCATTGTACTAGTAACATTAATTGAATGTTTAGCTGAAATCAAGTTCATTACAAGTTAAATACAGTACCTAGCCTATTAGGATGGTGTTTATAATTATAGTCATAAAGCACTTGTAAAACACCTTCATTGCAGCAAATAGGTGGAAGTTGGGTGTAGTGGCTGCTGAAGCCTCTCAGTTCACCCTCTGCATCTTTGCAGCATCATGGACCAAGGTCACCTGTGCCACTGAATCACCTCCAGAGCCTGTGCCAACACTGCTGAATTTCAGAGGGACACAGCCTACAGCTGTTAGCAGAAAATGTAAGACTGCACAAACTGCTGTGCAAGGGTTTTTGCAGTGCAGCTGGACCTTACTGAACCCTAGATCTATAAATACACACATTCTCATGCAAATATACCTGGATATTGGCCAGCTTATTGGCCTGATAATGAATTTTTAACAATAAAACAGCTTTTAAAAATACAAGACCTAAGAGATTACATCTCTCTTTGATATATCAGATTTTGTATTTAATTTTCTGGCTGACAGCATCATTACAGAAAATACCTGATCTGCTTTTGGTATTGCCCAAAGTCCTTCTGCCTGAACTCCAACAAACACCTTACCCAGAGAGCTACACCAATTTTGCTGGAAGCTGAGCCATGAGCAGCAGTGAAGTTCCACCTTGGGCACACAAGTGAACTAAAGCCATACACATGGCTGGTGTCACTTCTGCTCAGTCACACACATGAAGGAGCACCCAAATTCAAGCATAACCACTTGGCCTGCCTCACTTTCATAATAAATTAGGTTTCTTCTTATAGCCATTTTCATAAGAATAGTAGCACCCAAAAAGAGAAATTAGTTTTAAGGTATTTTATTTGACATGATTGAAGACACAAGAACACTCAAGATACAATCCAGACAAGTTGTGAACAGCTCCAAGTATCAGTGAAATCTGAATTTATCTTGCACAGAGGTGAACAAGACCACAATGGTTGGTTTTATAATATAGTTTAAGACTATTTCAAGCAGGTGAGTACTGTGACATTATGCCCAACAACTTTTATACTATTCATCCGCTTAAGCCACTTCATATCATAAATATGCAGCTTATCTTGGCTATTAAATCTCTGCAATATATAATTAGCCTTCTCATAATAATGCATTAAAACTCCTGTATATGAATACTGGTATACTCATACCACTGAAAACTGTCCTAACCACCACTGCACATTTATCATATTCTAGCACAATTAACCATTCCATCACAATTAGCTGCTAAATTTCAGCCTAGAGTTCAGTAACTTGGACCCAAACTTGCAAATTGCTTAGAGCAAAACTCCTGCCAAGACCTTCTGCTTTCCCTATGGATAGCTGGCCTTGTTGTCTTTCCAACACTAATTTGCACAATGTCATCTGAAACCCCTACCAAAAAAATGCTCTGCAGGGGAAGGTCCTGCAAAAGTGTCACAACTACAATTCTAAAAATGCCTCATTTCCTAGTAAATTTCATATAAATTTTACAACCGAACATCCTTTATCGAAATGGGCATCCACATGCCTCTTAAAATGTAAAGTTGTTTAATTGGGTTATTGTCTACAGACCACAGCATAATATTCTACTTAACAATTCTAATTCCTTAGAGAGACAAACTAATTTTCCATTCTGAAAGAGGGCAACAAGGACAGCTGGGAGTTTGTTCAGTAGTTCAGTGCTCTGCAAAGATAAGCTTGATGGTGTTCTCACCAGACTGAAGGAGGAAGTGCAAAAATATGTAAACCACATTTCACAGGGATTTCAGCAACGAGCTCCTGCTTGGATCCAGATGGGATCTTACAAAAGGTGAACCAGAAAGGGCAGAGAATCTGCTGGGCAGGGAACTGTGCTTCAGAAGAGCTGCAGAATCCACCTGCAGCCTTCCCTGCAGACAGGCTGGAAACAGCACAAAGCCCATGGGCCACCTGATCCTGCAGATCACCTCCTCTTCACAGGGGGACAGGGGTGACAGCCATTTATTGAACCAAATCCTGTGTTAAGGCCACTGAAAACAAATCTGTGCAGAACTGGACAGATTCAGCTTAACATAGCATGCAAAGACAGCAAAGCCTATTTTTCTGGAATAATTTTGGATTTTGGCAGGTGGAAGTGGTAGACAGAGACTGTGCCTTACCTGCAGCTACAATACAAGAGTGTTGCCTGGCTTTGGGAGGTAGTTTTTCATTTGTTGTTGTTGTTGTTTTTAAACTAGAGAATATCCTTATTAAAAACCCAAAACCTAGTGAAGAAGCTGTATACCCAGATTTTACCATCTGATTTTTGGTTTTACAGGAGGATTCATCCATTATTATGAAGAATTGCTGGAGATGGAATGGTCACCATCTGAAACAAAGAAATGAAAACCCCAGCAACAGACTATTGCATTTGTGTGATGTGCTTAGCTGGTATGACTTGCATTGCAGGAAGAATGTTGTATTCTCTGACACACCAACATTTCTTTCCTATTATTATAAGATCGGCCTTTTACATTTCATATCTTACCATCTTTAAAAGCCTATAATTACAGAAGCTGATTGAGAAACTGTGTTATTTAAAATTAACAGCTGAATGAAATCAACAAAGTGCATTTTTATACAAGAAAATAGCACTGTAGAAAGAAAGAGTCTGTACAATATTTAAATATTGTATATACATAAAATTATATTGTTCATAACTCATCTTAAAGTTTCTCTTGTTTGTAAACCATGGAAAGCAGCACACACAAAAAAAATTTCCCAGTATTTTGCTTTTAAAGCATTTAGCAGGCAGCAGGAAATCGACTGCTAGCAAGCACACTTTGTAATTATAGAAAGTATCCAGCAGGATACTGTGACTAGCATTCTCCATAGTCCTTTATTTATTTATTTTAAAGCTGAATGCAGAACACATTTCCCATCAAATCAGGGAATTCTGCAGGAAACACAGAAAACTCAATGACAAAATGCAGTGGATCAGTTGTCCAGCTCTCTTCTGTGGCAAAACTCCAGGATAAACACAGAAAGTTTAAGTGCAGGATTGGAACATAAATTAATGAAATAACTGTTAAAGCTTAAATCTCCCAAAAGTGTCAGTAATGGATTGAACTCATGCTCAACTTTTTAAAAAGGAAGGTTTAGATTAATAATTAACATTGCAACATTTTGAAAATGTAATGAATTCCAGCAGGTAGTCAGGCAGCTCTGTATAAATGCACTGGGAAGTGTCAGCATTTTAGGGTGATTCTACAGGTTGGTACCACTCTGCTAATCTGGAGTGGAATTAGGATTTGAATCTGAAGTTTTCAGTTCATGGCAGACACAGAATGTAGGTTTCAGTTTTCTTCCTGTAGCGTTTTGCAAAATAAAAACTATTCTAGTTGCAAAAGAAATTTGCCAGGTGAGCATGCTTAAGGAAATATTTCCACCAAGTTATTATTTGGAAAACAAGATGCTACCATGGCCATCAGTGCATTTCTGCTGCATCAAGTGCTCACTGCCAGGTAAAGAATGCTTTATTTAATGCTATTTATAGTTTCATTCTATTGGTTTCTGCCTTCCACTTAATTGGCCATTCAACTCAACCCAGCAATATGTTTTACTGAATTAAAATGTCTGCTACAAAAAAATGTATTACAGTATTTTAGATCTGAATGTTTTGTCTCTTGAGAATTGTTTATATGTTTCTGGACAGCCATCATCTAGCTGTGCTTCCAAATGTTAACACAGGAGTGAACAAGAAAAGAAATACAATCACCTGGGGAAGTGCTTGATAAAGCAGATGGGTCAGAGGGATGTTGAGAAATGCGCAGCTGCACTGGGAACTGCACTGCCAGCAGGTCAGGAAAGGGATCCTTCCCTGATTCAGCCCTGCAGAGACCATGTCTGAGTGCCAGGAACAGCTCTGGGCTTCCCAGGACAGGAGAGACACAGACACAGCTCTGAGAGCAGCACAGGGCCATGAAGGGGAGAAGGGACTGGGGGATCTTTCATGTGAGAGCAGACAGGAAAGAGGATGGAGCCAGACTTCTCAGAGGTATCCAGTGAAGGAGCAAGAGAGAGGCACCATGCACAAATTTAAACGCAATAAATTCCTTTAAAGCGTAAGAAAAAAAAACCTTTGCAGTGAGGGTTGTCAAAAAAGTTGCCTGGAGTTCAGGGATCTTCATTTTGGAGACCATAAAATTAGAAAAAGAAACTTCTTCTGACTGATAGTGCTTAGAATGGAGAGGTTTTATCAGACAGTCAATGGATGTCCCCCTCAAGCTTAACTGCTCTGTGATTCTGTGGTTTCAGATGGAGACTAATAAAATAAGTTTAGAAGACCCAAAAGAGAAATAGGTTTGTTCTTAATATTATTTTCCAAAGTATAATGAGGGTAATGCTAGCTAATTAATCTGACAGCTTGTTCTGAGAGCTCTGACAACAAAGGCCTTGTTTTTAACCTGGAGCTATCAATATTAGGCCCCCAAAACATATATGTATTTCCTAAATATAATTTTAAGAATTTCTGGGGATTTTCTTTACACAGAATTTAAGCAATTGAGATCCTATTTCTTTGAGTCATTAATTTTCAGCACTTTAAATTCTGAAAGCACTGGGCAAAATCAAAAGAATACAATAAAACTACTAATTTGTTCCCATTGCCAGAGGATGGTGCTGTTTAAACAGATATCCCACACAGATATACCCCCTACAACAGCCACGTGGGTTAGTGAGTTTTTCTCAGGAGGAAGAGGAAGAAGGACAAGGCAAAGAGATTACAACTTGGTATTTTTTTAACTAACCTTCAGGACCCAACAATAATCAGTGTTTATTTATAAAGGTAGATCTTTAAGCATGCGTGAGTAACTCGGTAACTTTTACTACCTCTGGAACTTTTGCTCCTAGAACTTTTTAAGGGTCTTTCAAAAGGCAGTCCTTGGTCACCAAAGGACACAAACACAACACACCCCACCTTAGCTGTTCTCATGTAGCCTGCTGAAATTCACGGTGATGACATGACAGACGAAGTCAAAAAACGGAACAGTGGAAGATCAGTCTCACAAACAGGCTGTGGCGGGAGAAAGGGCCGTCAGTAATTTAAGAAATCAATACCGACTTTGACACTTTTAGAGGTGGCAACATCAACAGCCATGGCTTTGATTTCAGTGTCCCCAAACTGCATCAACGTTTTGATCTCGCGCCGGTTGGGCACGGAGGCGTCAGTCCCCGTGAGATCCAAGCGCAGCGTGCCGCACTTCTTCACGCCGGGCTCGGTGATGAAGCTGACGTTGTCCTGCTCCGAGCTGTAGATGTTGATCACTATCACTAACTGGGAAGGCTTGGCAGGCGTGTAGCTGCGGGTCACAGTCTCTCCCAGGGCTACAGACTGGTCGGCTGAGATGAACTTGTCGAAGACGTCGGTGCACCAGCGCGTGCCGTCCTTGACCAGCAGCTTCTCCGGGGGGTGCTTGCCCTCCACGAAGCGGTTGAGCACCCCCACGCCGTAGGTCAGCGGGGAGCGCCGCACCTTGATGACCGCGGGGTCGAGGCCGAAGAGAACGGCTCCTTTGAGGATGGTCAGCCCCACATCCTGGGGAATGATCACCCGGCACCTGGAGCCGAACGCGCTCTGCACGGCTTGCTGCAGCAAGGGGGACTCGGCGAAGCCGCCCACCAGGAAGAGGAACTTCACGTTGGTCACCTCTGGCTTATCGAACACCTCGCCTGAGCAGAAACAGAGAGCATCCAATAAAATCCACTTTGACAAGGCAATGCAAGTGAAAATGGCAATGTCTGAGAGCCCCGAGTGTTCCATGCACACGATCTGAAACTGCCACATCCATGCCCAGGCTGCCACTCCCTCAGCATGCACCAGTCCCACTTCTGTTATCTCCAGTGTATTTCACTATGAATTCACTCACCTCAAACCAAACAACATTTATGAAGTTGGCCTTTAAAACCAACCCTTTATTACATTCCAGATAAATCACTCCATTCCAAATTCACTTATTATTTTTGACTCCAGCAGAACCACAATAAACACCATCTGCAAAATAATCCCTCTTTACATTTTTACAGATTTTCCTTCTTAGCTTAAGCCCACATCTACTTTCAAGAAATACATGCAGTAAAGTTGTAGGCTCACTTTTAGTTCAAACAAGTGAGTCTGTCACAACTATTGCAGTCCTAGGTGTCTCTTTCCCTCTCTGCTCACATATAAGCTGCTCTATACTTGTTGTCTTATTAAGTTCTGAAATTTAGCTAATAATTCCTCACACACGATGAGCAAAGCTGGACATTTCTTCCAAATAGTGCTTCAAAACATGTAAAAGCACACTTTTCTTACCACAAGCATTATACTCTACTGGATACTAATTTCATCTTCAGCTAGGAAGACCTTAAATAGTAACTTTCCCAATAAACACATGTCACTTTCCATTACTGGACAAATAAATTCATTGCTGCTTAAGCCATGCCTGGAAGTACTTTTACCATGATGCACCATTTACTATTTGTGCTTTAGATATGTCAGTGATGGTCATGAACAAATGTGACCTTCCACTAGGGAGGAACAAATTGGAGGTCTTAATAGCTGGAATACTTAGAAATGAGATACAACTCTGGCATAATTTGGTTGTTGCCTGAACCAGAAAAAAGAAAGGCAGAATCTGGGTTTCCCAGTGGATGTCAGCCCTCTGAATACTTGCAGCCCTGAAAGCACAGAGTAATTGGAGCTTAGGCAGTAAGAGAACTGAATCACACTCAGTAACTACCACTAAAGCCAGGCAGGAGTATGTGCTCAGGACACATCCCTTACTTTTATTATTTTCCTAGCTGATTTGTAGAGAACTGTAAGTTTCAGAACTGAATTCCTTGTCAACAACTGATGCATACCAGGAGTTGTTACTGGGTTGAAAAGGGTGAGCAAAGCTCCAGTTTGAGCTCAGCCAGGAAGTGGAACCCCACACAGATACGTACTCAGGTGCTGAACAATCTGGTCAATCGTAGGTTTGAAAAGAGCATTCATTGCATCTGGGCTCATCCTCAGCATTCCCTGGGAGGACCACTTCACAAAGTCCACACTGCAAAGGAACATGAGAAAGAACATTAAAGCATTGCAGCTGAGCTGCGAAACAACCAGCATTAAACAAATCAATGAGTTTACAGAATCTGCGTGCATTTTCCTTGGAACAAAGTGCTCCGCCTCTAACCCTAACCCCATACCAACTGCAGTTATGTAAAACTTGAAGGGAGAATTATTATTTTGGCTTGTCTAATTGTTGTTTTCTTTGCCTGATTGCCTTCTGCAGCATTAGCAATGCTCAACTGCTCTCTGAAACAGCTGGCAGTCAATGCAGTGCTCGCTCATCTGAAACAGCACTGATTCATCCCCAGAAGGGCAACATTTAGATTATAGCAGTGGCAGGCCAAAGCCACTGGAAACACACAAGGAAAACAAGCAACTTGGGAAGCCTCAGGAGGCAGAAGAGAGAATTGCATTTTTAATGAGGCATAACATTTATTAAGTGAACACTGGCATTATGCTATTCTACCACTGATACACATCTGTACAGCTCAGTAATCTCCCTTACATTCATGCACATTATATGTTAACCTTTACACTCTTTCTATCCTCTTATCCAATTGATTTCATTTCATTTGAAGGGAGCATTTAGCATTTCCTCTAAGATTCACCATTAAGACTACTAATAAAGAGGAGATGGCATCATGAGGAGGAGGATTTCCAGAAATTTTTAATGATTTCAGAACCTCAGCCTCATTTATAAAGCAACTTTTAGCTGGATTCCAAGTCACTTAAGCTTCCAGTACATTCACCAGTAACTTCTGAAAGATATGCAGGAGTTCCAGCCTGCATACTACATTCAACACTGGCTAGTTTAAAAAATTCAGATACAGGTACTAAATATCAGATCTTCCTCTCTCAGGTCCCAAGCATTTTGTCCCAGATTCACAGGTTCTCTTGCTCATTAAACTCCAGGTTTTCCATAATATGTAACTTCAAGAGATGCAAAATGCCCACTTCTGCTCAATTCCTTTTCTACAGCAGCCCACGATCTTGTCACTTGGAATGACTTCTTGATACTGAAAATCATTAATTAAGATCTCTGGAGGGGATTATGTCTCTCTGCCTATCAAGCAAATTATCAAACTTGTTAAGTACCATAAGAAGCAAAAGCCTGCCATCACTTCAAAAGCTGAATGCTTCCCCTTACAGAGCTTTATGCAGTAGTGTATGTATGTTTTCTCCAGTGATCTGATGCTGTTAATAACTTCCCTCAAGCCATGAACATATTTTCACATCTCACAATCTTGGACTTTTTTTTAGGATCCAGGCCACCAAAAATCAGGGTTATAGGCAACAAATTCTGTGTTTGATCTGACATTCCTAATTAACATGCAAGAGACTCACAATATACAGTCAAAGAAAGTGATGCAGTGGTGACCTAACGAGTCATAGAAAGCAATGCCTGTAAAGTGCAAGTCTTGTACAAAAAAGCTTTTGCTAGAAATTGATGAGAACTTTTCATTCTGGAAACTGCACCAGATGCAACCCCATTTTCTCATCCTTGCACTACACTTCTACACTATTCTCTGTCACTCCTAATGTAATTAGGGTATTTCAATTATTTGTCTTTGCTACCAGTAGTTAATTCTGCATCCACGTGCTTGTCTACTCACTTGCTTTTCCTCAAGGCATGCTCCACACTGTGCCCTCGGAACTTCTTGTAGTAGTCAATGAAGGAGAAGGGCAGGGTGATGTTCAGGGGGTTGGTCCTGTCGGGAGCTGCCGCCCGCTTGCGGGACTCGAACGCGATCATCAGATCCACCCAGGCCGCGGGGCGCTTGATCTTAAACTGCTCAATGAAATCTTCCCCAAAGATTTTACACAGCAGCTTCTCAAACTCATAGTCCACACCTAGAGAACCGTATGGGCCACCTGTAGCACAGACAAAACACAGCTTTAATATTCTGGGCATTCTTTAATATTCCTATGACATTTCGAGTTGGCCACACACACATCACAATAACACTCTCAGGACTATCATAGGAGAAGGTTCACAAAAAGAGGATCTCTGCTAAATGTAACAGCTGGTCTAATACACAACAAGATCTTACTTTTGCCTGTTACTCCTGTATCATCACAGACACTCTAACACTATAAATGAGGGATTCAGCCAACCAGCAGCTGGATTATCATAGAAACAAGTGATCCCCCGCCAGGGAGTAATGTGCTTTGACTCCATGATTCAGAATGCTGAACAACTGCTTCATTAAAGCTATACTATATTACACCAATACTATATTAAAACTATACTGAAGAGATACTATACCATACCCTACAAAAGATATTAAAGAAAAACCCGTGACTGTCTGAGACAGCCAGGACACAGCTTTGACCCAACTGGCCAAGGAAACAAAACAATCTTCACTGGTGTCCAATAACCAAATCACTTTTGCTAAAAACAATCTCTATAAGGCATTCCACAGGTGCAAAACAAGAGAAGCAGTGAATAGAGATAAGAATTGTCTTCTCTTCTCCTCTGAGGTTTCTCACTGCCTTTCCCACGAAAAATCCTGGGAGAGAGAATTATGTCTCTCTCTGTTCAGAGAATGTGAATGCCGCACTGGGTTGTACTAATTTTGTGTGCTGGTCTCATTTTGGGAAGAACTGTCAGTAAAATGCAATAAAGGCACACATTTCCTTCACTGACAAGCCAAAACACTACATAAATACGTAATACACCATCTAATTACATAGAGCAAGCAGTGGAAGCGATGTTACCTGTTGCTTTGTAGAGCTCCTTCAGATGTCCTTCAGGAAGCCTGATCTGATGGACAGTCATGTCCACTGTGCCTCCTCCGCTGTCAACCACGATGTACCGATCACCTGCAATGCCAAGGGGACAGGCCAGGGCCATTCACACCACTGTGAGCACAGCAGCTCACTGCAGTGAGAGCTCCTGAGGGCACCAGATAAGGGAGATAAGGGCCTACAGACAGTCAGCAATGGTCCTGCTGAAGACCTGATCTTTGCTAGTATTTACAACACAATGATTGGTAACAAACATCAAAGTCAGATGTCAAAAGCTGTTAATGTAGCACAGCTGAAAAGTGGGACTGCTCATGCTGCTGGTGTACATCCTAGTGGGCTACCAAATATTATACCATATTTACAAAGCCTGTTCTGAGGAAAATATTCCAGTTGCATGGAATAATACTTCCACTATCTCATTAATAAATCTTATTATGCTAGAGCATACAGAATTGCAATTCAGCACTTGTAACTAAGAACAGCACGTGAACTTGTGTTTTTTTCCTTTTCCCCTTTATAACCACTGTGAGAACAATGCAGTGCACAGCACCTTTATGGGAAACACAATATTTGCCTGTAACACAAAACCAGTGAGAGCAAAGTTTGCTCAGAAAAGGACAGTACCTTCCTCCAGCTCAGACCAGATCTCTCCTATGACATTTTCCACCATGAAGGTTCGGCTCTGCCGGTTCCGGCGCACGTGCTCCTTCCCTAGTGATTGCCAGAAAAAAAGTCATTGAGTATAAAAAAGCATGAAGAAATAAAATAAAAAACTGCAGAAAACAAGTGCAAGCAGGCTGACAGATCTGTATTTATCCCTTCTTAACAAATGTACAAAAATTATTGCACTGGGACCAGGAACATTAGAATGCCATTCCTGGAAAGAAGGAAAAATGGTTTACAGCCGCTCTGATCTTCCTTGATATTGTTATATATACTTATTTGTCTTTTAATCTATATGAATTACCTAATAGAAATAATGCAAACGAATTATATATAGTGACAATCTAATAATAAGACAGCTATAAATAGGTCTGACATGCAGTTTTTCAATACACTCTGGCTTGCAAAGCATGTGCTGGCAGCAGGGTGGGGGGCTGGCAGCCAGCTGTGCTCACAGCAGCCAGCTGTGCTCACAGCAGCCTCCACAACCAGCAGGTGGCAGCCCCAGCCCACGCCCAGACAAGCCCCCCACTACCCGGGATGGGAGAACATTCCCACATTTCCAAAAGCCACTGCTCATTTTCGGGTCTCAGGCAAATACGCCTCCCCAGCCTCTCAGGATGTCAGTCTACCCCAAAACAAGCAGCCAGAAGCACTGCTGCTCAGATTATGCAGAATTAATCTTAAGGACAAGTAAGAATTGGAATTAGTCTTAAGGACACAGTGATCATCAGGGCTGACCCTCACAATATTTAAAATATACATCAATTAAAAACTAAGTGCAAACGTGCAAGAATACTTATTACTTATTGTAACAACCCATTAACTTACAAGACTTAACTGCTACTTAGACATTTAAAAGATGCAGAACAGTCTGTCAGGAGAAAGCAGGGTAGTGAGAACCTCTGCTATTTATGCCTCTAAATCAACCTCCATAACTGAACGATCAAAAAAACCTACATTCCTTGTGTTATCATCACTCACCTTCAAAGGCACTTCATAAAACACTACAAGAGAGGCAGCCTGTCATAAGTAGAAATTCTTTCTGAAAATACCAGCATGCAAATCACAGAATGCACTTTGCTTCCTATTTCTGTAGTGCCTGTCATCAGAAAATAGAGCATCAGCTCCACTTGCTCCTGCACCCTCCCCAGGAAGACTCCACAATGCAGAGCAGTTGCCCCAGCCTCAGTTCAGGGACTGGGCAGCACAGGGAGAGCTCAGATGAAGAATTCTATGGCAGAACAAGAACTAGGTCCAAGCGAGGGCCTGTCAAGCTCACAGAAATCAATGGCAATCCTTTCATTCCCTCCTGTGGGCTAGAAGTGAACACAAGAGCCAGTCTTTGACTACAACTGAAGCGAGCTTATCCTTGCTACTATGAACACTAAAATTTCTGTTTTGACTTCACAGCAATAATATGGTCCTTGGAGTGCTTCTCTCTGTTTATGTTTAAAGGGTTTTTCTCCTTAATCTGTTCTCAGCTTGTCTTGGGTGCTTGCCATGCCTTTATGAAATTTTAATTCCAACCCCAAATTAATTCACTCCAAACTTTGTTTTCATTAATTTTGACATTAAACCTTTCTCATCCCCACCAGCTTTTTACCATACAAAGTCAAGAATGAGAGTGGTACCCCCACCCAAGAAAAAGCCCATTAGCAGAAATCCACAATCTGCCAGATTCTGCCCAGCTTCAAAACCTTAACCAGATAAACTCCTTTATTATTTTCCCAGAAGCAAATCCCTGTGTTGTCTGAAAGTGAGTTCATGTACCATCACATGGAACTGGGACATTTCAGGGCACGAATGAGGGGGACAGAAGCCAAGGGGCCCTGAAGGGACAGAATCCTGAAAACAGATTGTGTCCTGTACTCTGCGTGGGCCTCCAAACACTGAACACATCTGACAAGTGCTGGCTGGGAGAGCAATGGATTGGAGAGAATGATGTAGTCACTCTGCCTAACTAAAAAAAAATGTTCTGGTAAGTGCAGGAATAGCTCTACTAGCTTAACCTCCCACTTGTCTCTACTGTTTTGACCTAGCAAATGTGATAAAACAGACTCTTCTGAGAAACTCCTTCTAGGATAGACTGACACACTACCATCAGTATCAGGGCTACTGTTACAATTCACAGAGATATAGGGAAATATGCACATTAAGCAGCTATCAGATCTTACTGCTGCAGGCCATTTTCCTTTCTTGTTTCCTCTATTTGCCACCAGTTTCAGTAGGCTGCCAAGCTCAAAAAACTCTGGTGATGAAGGATCTTCTGTCAAGTGACTTACAGTGCTCCAATCTCTGTCCCTCCCCTTCAAACAGTGACAGCAGCAACAGATCCCAGCTCAATAAATCAGAAGTGCATTATCCAGTTGCTCTTCAACATGCAGATAAATTCACTGCTACATTCCAATGCCATGTGTTCCACTGAGTATTGGAAGTCATTAACAGCATTTCATAAAGATGACATCAAAAAGCATCTGCCAATACTTGGGAACACCTCAGACTAATTGTTTCATTGCAGATCCGGTTATTTAGCACTGCCTCAATAATGCAGATAATCAAACACATAACTGCTTCCAACAAATTAAATTAAAAAAATGATCCAACATGAAGTACTAACTTTAATTAAGGCAGAAAAATACTGGTGTGAAAATACTAAAAGACTCCTAGAATATCCAAATAAAGGCAAGACAAAGAAGTTACCTACATGGTAAAATCCAAGCGTGTATTAGGAAGAAATTGTTCCCTGTGAGGGTGGTGAGGGGTGCCCAGAGAAGCTGTGGCTGCCCCATCCCTGGAAGTATCCAAGGCCAGATTGGAGCAGCCTGGGATAGTGAAAGGTGTCCCTGCCCATGGCAGAGAGTTGGAACTAGATGATTTTTGAGTTTCTTTCCAACCCAAATCATTCTGTGATGTCTGCTGGGTCAACACATAAACAAGTCTAACTATGGTAAGCAGCAAAAAAGTTTTTAAAACAAACTGATGCCAGCCTGAAACATTTCAAGGGAACAACAAGAAAAGGTGAGAAACCAGCCCTGGGGGACAAAGCAATGAGAATCTGCAAAGTGAATGAACAGAAGTACCCTGTGTAAATCCAGTTCCAATAGTGTCACTCGGGCTGTAGCCATTGACAGGTGCCCTACTACTCAGGTCTATCATCTGGTGCAGGCGCAGCTTTCGGCAGTAGATAGAGGCAGCCTCGGGCTCCAGGGCAATGATCAACTGCTCGGGGTTTTCAGGAGATGCCATTCCTGCCTGTGAGAGAGAAGGGATCAGAGAAGTGGGGAGGGGATCCCTGCAGCCCCTCTCAGCACAAGGCTGTCCCCAGCCCCTGGGCTCCGCTGGCTCGCCCTGCAGAGCTCGCCCCAGCCAGGAGCTGCTGCCCGGGGAAAGGTCTGCTCTGGGAATTGTCCTGCCCACACTGCACAGCACAACTGCACAGGCTGTAACAGCGAGGATTGCATGCACTTACCATGCTAAGTGGCTAACTGAGCACTCGTGTACATGACAGGTGGAGAAACGAAGGAAATCGGTTTGAAACCTGTTATAATTGGCCTAAAATCTGAGCTCAATTCTAATTAACCTGGGAATCTGCCAGCTAACAGGGGCCCCAGCCTCCTTTCAGCCTCCTTTTGTCTCTCCTCGCCACAACAATATTTTAAGTATGTCTTTATGTCCCAGATATTCAAAGTCCTTGCCAAAATGGGGTTCCTGCACTGTTTAACTGTATAGGAATATACAATACACTTTGCCAGTAATGCATCTTCTGTCTTACAACCAACATTTTCTATTTCAAAATGCTTTAAAGTACATTTGCTTTTATACCATCTTCAAAATGCTCAGTATATTCAAGGAGACAAAATACAACAGGGCAGGTTCCCTAAAATGTAATGAGAACAAACCTAAAAATAATACCACATTATAAAATCAGTGTTTGCCATTCTTTTTATTTTCTTACTGGATTTTCAGCCTTCAGACACAGATATTTTCAAAAAGCCACAAGTTCTTATGTAACTACATCACTCTCAAAACTGGGCTTAAAGAAAATTATTCAAAGAACAATTCACAAAACTCAGTTTTAATTTCTTTTTCCCAGTACTTCTGCCTACAAAATAAGACAACTTTCAATTCTTTCTGCCAACTTTTGGGTTAGTTGCTATTACTTTTCAGTTAAGTGCCTGAGCAAACAAATAAAGCAAAATGAACATTTTCCTGCTTCCACAGTCAGTCTTCCAGCCTTCAACTCATACACACACACAAACACACACACACACACACACACACACACAGTGTCTCTAGAGCAAGGAAAGGACATGGAAAGTCTGCAGACTTGGACTGGAATTTGGCTTCTTTCATACAGCTACACTGTGGGCTGTGGGAATTGCTGCCTCATTGACAACTGCAGCCAGAAACTCAAAGTAAAGTTGGTTTAAAAAGCAGTACCAGGATAAGACTTGAGACACAAAACTGTCCTTCACATTTACTGACTCACTTTACCCTCTCCACCCTAATAAGTCACATAAACAGATCCTGAAGAAAGCATCTACCTCACTGTTGGTAACAGGAAAAAAAAAAAGGCAAAACAACAATAAATAAGTTCTAAAACGAGATAAGAGTTAAACTCTTAAATCATGGTTGCTCATTATTTTACAAGTACACCATGACTGGGATTATGGTCACTTTAAAGCCTTTGCTGCTGTTGGGCAAACCTTTCTGCTTCAGTTACATCCACTGGACCAAACAGCATGATCCAAAATTAGCAGAACTGTGTGGGAAGGAAAATATTGAACAAATACTACACAATTTTAAACCTTGCCAGCTCTGTGGCAGCATGTATTGAAAAAAAAACATTGTATCAAAAAGAATGTTTGCAACCAAACTTTCAAACTTCGGAAAATAGATTTACATCAGCCAGAGTAACCCTGAAATGTATAAAAAGAGCATCAGTTAAGCACAGGCTCTCCTGCCATCACATCACTTGCATGTGAGCATGCTGGCAGAAGCAGCCCTGGAGCTGTACTGGGGATGAAGATGTGCCCCAGGACAAACCCAGTCCCTCCTGTGACCCATCTGGATGCTGTAGGCACAGGCAGGGCTGGGTTCATGCCAGCTCACTTCAACATCACTTATCTCCAGCTGGGCTTTTCCACACAGGAAGTTTTGGTTTGTTGCACTGGAAAGAGCAACATTCCAGATATGAATCAATACTGGGGTCCCTGACAAACAGATTTGTCTGATCTGCTCAAGAATTCCACAAATGTATGGTGTCTGCACACAAACTGTCTGTGCCTTTGGAGTTTTGCTAAAAGCCAAATCTGGATCTTGCTGCAGCTCTAAGGGCAACACTTCCTTCTCTACCCAGTAAGGGCTTGGAGAATAAATAGCTCCTGACTACCCTGCTTTAGTTTTGACCTGTATTAAATCCATTACCATGTTGTGTGAGAGCTCTGAATCTGAGCAGCAAGTGGGGTTTTTTTTTCACTATCTAGCAATGTGGATGAACTCAAGAGAGCTCAGTCTGCTCCTTGTACTGGGCATGTCAGCAGCACAGACATTCTTAGTCTCAGGCTAACCTAAGCACTGAAGACAAAACTGTATTTTAGGGAAAAAATACTTTGCTGCCAAGGATATTAAAATGCAAAGGCTACAACCTAAAGCATTTGCAGAGGTGACAAGAACTGAGTTGCACACACATGGAATGCACTGGTACTTCCTAACTGTTGATGGTGATGGGGAGAAGATTGTATTAATTGCCAAATCATCTGTTCTAGGGGGAATTTTAATACAAACTCCCAAGGCTGGTCCTGCTAAAAGCAAGCAGTAAACCATTAACAATAACATTTGCTTCCTCCCCTCCTCCAGCAGCCTGTACCATGAACTTTTCACACTGCAGCCAGGAGAGGAAGGCAGTGACCTGCAGCGGATGGACTCGAGCTGTGTGCTCAGACCCTCCATGCACAGCAGATGCTATTCCTGCTCCTTTTCTCCCTAGCTATGATTTTAACATACCCAAAGTATCTCCTGAGGAAAACATGCAACAGAAATGACAGTTTTTAACAGTTGAAAGCACAGCTGATCCTAACAGAACCTCATGAAGAAACTGCTGAGGTTTTGAGTTTAAAAGCTTTTCTTACAGAGTTTGAAGGGCCAGTTACAATGAAGAGTGTTGCTTCACATCATAAAAAGACCATACAGAGAATCTTTTACAGTGAAAGGTACAAGGCATCCAACACATCTTTTATATGCAGACACACATATATACACACATATATATTTACATATAAAAATATATATGTGTATGTAGCAATCAATATTTCATACCTCTGTATACAGTATTTCTACTTAAACCATGAAAGAGAGCATATTACATATATATCTATACATCTATACACAGCACAGAGAAAATGAGAGAGGAGGAGATGATAAAGAAACATGAGGACATAAATACTGCTGGGGAGGAATGGAGCAATGAGGTTGTTTTAATCCAAGCTCCAAGAGCAAGACTTAGGCAGTGCATCTGTCCCATCATTACGGCCAAGGGACAGATGGGAGAAAAATATTGAGCGTGCAGAGAAAGAGGAGTGGAAACAGCAGGCAGCCAACATAAAGAAACAGTGATGCATTTGTTAAAATTATTAATTGCAGGCATTTGGGAATTTGCTGTATTTTTCACTTTCTGCTTTCTGTCTGCCTCACTCCGTGTTCCTGCCCACTGCTGCCCAAGCACGACTGTAATAAACACCAGGGATTCACAAGTTAACAGGCCTGAGCAGGGCAGATCTAAACAATGTCTCAATATTCAACATTCTAGAGATCATCCTGGCAGTGGGACAGACACACCAATTTGCTTTTGTCCAGGGCAGCTTATAGCAGAGTTTAGAACAGAGCAGTGTCCTGACTGCAGCCTACTAAGGAATTTTCTTGCTCCCATAACCCTCACTAGCAGTCATCACTTATGGAACATGAAGGAAGCAGAGAGCAATTTCCCCAAGAACACAAAAGTGGAAAACTCATCATGGGATTACAAAAATTATTTGAGCACAAAAAATTCTTAAATCAATTTGCAAGATATTGCTGCATTTATACACCTGGAAGAAGCAAAGTACACTTGAAAAGAACTGCTCTAAAATTCAACTTTGCTCATATGCCTGAGGACTAGGATTTCATTATTTGACAAGAGAACTCCCAGACCTCACTTGCTCCAGTAGCACAGGTCTCGGTGCTGGTGCCAATTCACTGCTGCTCATTTGCCAAGATGCATCATGGACAGCAAACTTCAAAGCACTTCAAAGTCTCATGTAGTGGAGCATAAATAATTTCACCATCCAGATGCAGGTGAATTCTCACCCTCGCCGCCAGCTCTGTTTTTATAGCCAGAGAGGTGCCACCAGGAGAGAGCCACAGCTGACCACAACACATTCCTGATTCCCTGAACAGCATCAGCTGCCAACTGCTGGAGTAATTCACCACCAGCAAATATTGAGGTCTGGACTGCAGCTCACTACAGCAGCCCGAGCACTTCAGAGAACTGTTTTCACTCACTCCACATGCTGCATCACCATTGCTACAGATTAAAAATGCTGCTTTTAAAACCCAGTCCCACATGCCACAACACACAGAAAAAAAAAATCAATGCCCTTTTATTTCTTTTTACTATTGTAATGTATATGACATTAAAGACAGCACTATAATAGATTTTCCAGGTAGTCAGTCTTTTTAAGGTAGGCCTAGATGAAAATGTCCCATCTCTGAATGCTGCTGTAATTAGAAGCATCAGCATCTAGCTGCAGTTCTCCACAGCCAGACAGAACACCAGTGTGTTCTTTATTTATTACACCACAGTGACCTCAAAAGAAGTACAATGTCAGGAAATCCACCATGTTTGACAAGGTACCTGTTTCCTATTCCTATCCTTGCAAGTTATTGAGAGCAACAGGTAAAGTTCTTTCTTTTTCTTTTGGTTTTTCAGAAAGATAGATCAGATATATTTTTAATGGGGAAAAAAAATAGCCTGACCACTGATGTATAACACAAGGAACATGCCTCACATGGAGTGCACCTGTTCTTTTGAGTTACAAAATTTATTAAAAGAACTGATTGGATGAATTCTACTTTTTACCTGCCTTGATATATTTTATAGTCATTTAAAACCTGATTCACTACTCCTGCAGGGCTGGAGGAACTGCATTCTCAATTAATAAAGCATTTCCAGATACAAAAATGTAGCATAAATAAAATAAACAGATAAACACATA